GTCAGTGGATACAAAGTACAATGTACAAAATATTCACTATATGCAAAATATGAAAAACATATCCAGAGTAAACAAGTTCAAAGGTAGATTAATCACAAAATTATCAAAGATTCTGTTTTGTGATTTTTAAAGTTTTTTACAAGACAAAATGGTAGATCAAACACATCATATGCTGATGTACTTGTATATTTCATAGCACTAAATAGGATGTCAGAATGTGCCTAGATTGAAGCCTTTAGTAAAGAGAACATTCCTTAGGGAGCTATGATTAAAATCAGATTTACCCGTATGTCAGTGGATACAAAGTACAATGTACAAAATATTCACTATATACAAAATATGAAAAAAATATCCAGAGTAAACAAGTTCAAAGGTAGATTAATCACAAAATTATCAAAGATTCTGTTTTGTGATTTTTAAAGTTTTTTACAAGACAAAATGGTAGATCAAACACATCATATGCTGATGTACTTGTATATTTCATAGCACTAAATAGGATGTCAGAATGTGCCTAGATTGAAGCCTTTAGTAAAGAGAACATTCCTTAGGGAGCTATGATTAAAATCAGATTTACCCATATACCAGTGGATATAAAGTACAAAATATTCACTGTATGCAAAATATAAAAATAATATCCAGAGTAAACAAGTTCAAAGGTAGATTAATCACAAAATTAACAAAGATTCTATTTTGTTATTTTTAAAGTTTTTTACAAGACAAAATGGTAGATCAAATACATCATATGCTGATGTACTTGTATATTTCATAGCACTAAATAGGATATCATAACATGCCTATATTGTAGCCTTTAGTAAAGAGAACATTCCTTAGGGAGCTATGATTAAAATCCGATTTACCCGTATGTCAGTGGATACAAAGTACAATGTACAAAATATTCACTATATGCAAAATATGAAAAACATATCCAGAGTAAACAAGTTCAAAGGTAGATTAATCACAAAATTATCAAAGATTCTGTTTTGTGATTTTTAAAGTTTTTTACAAGACAAAATGGTAGATCAAACACATCATATGCTGATGTACTTGTATATTTCATAGCACTAAATAGGATGTCAGAATGTGCCTAGATTGAAGCCTTTAGTAAAGAGAACATTCCTTAGGGAGCTATGATTAAAATCAGATTTACCCATATACCAGTGGATATAAAGTACAAAATATTCACTGTATGCAAAATATAAAAATAATATCTAGAGTAATCAAGTTCAAAGGTAGATTAATCACAAAATTAACAAAGATTCTGTTTTGTGATTTTTAAAGTTTGAACAAGACAAAATGGTAGATCAAACACATCATATGCTGATGTACTTGTATATTTCATAGCACGAAATAGGATATCAGAATGTGCCTAGATTGTAGCCTTTAGTAAAGAGAACATTCCTTAGGGAGCTATGATTAAAATCAGGATTAACCCCTATACCAGTGGATATAAAGTACAAAATATTCACTGTGTGCAAAATATGAAATATTATCTAGAGTAATCACGTTCAATGGTAGAACAATCACAAATTATCAAAGATTCTGTTTTGTGATTTTGAAAGGTTTTTTGACAAGAACAAATGGTAGATCATATACATCATATACTGATGTACTTGTATATTTCATAGCACTGAACAGGATTTCAGAATGTGCCTTTAGTAAAGAGAACATTCCTAAGGGAGGTACAATTAAAATCAGATTTACCCGTATTCCAGTGGATACAAAGTACAAAGTAGCCACAGTATGCAAAATGTATAAAATGTCTAGAGTAATCACATTCATCTAAATTGAACACACCACCAGTGTAAACAATGATAAGACAATCAAACAATACCAAAGATTCTGTTTTGACATTTTGACAGTATTCTTAAAAGAAACATTTTGAAGTTGAACAAATACATCCTATGTTGATGCACTTGTCATAGCAGTAAACAGGAGATCATAATGTGCCTTGCATGAACCTTCAGTATACAGAACATTCCTAATGGAGCAATGATTAAAATCAGATTTTCAAGGAGAAGTGTATAAGGTCAACACTATTTTTGAACACGTATGTTTGCAATGAGCATGTATGAAAACAGGGTTGAAGTATTGGTTTTACATTTTAAATTTGTACAATTTAAACAGGAATCAAACTTTACCAGCCAATACTAAGACTATGTATCTTGCCAGAATATGTCATCAGCCTTCGTTGTGACTCGAAAATACTGTGTCTGATTTGTAAATAGTTGCCAAACTGGACCTCTGGGCCCGATTTGCAACGGCCATTGTTGTGGTTTTACATGGATCATGGCCAGATTGACATCAATCGTGGTTGTGACTTTCCATGCGTCAATTTAAGCTCTGTATCTGCCAGTGGTGTGACTTTACATGTGTCTTGACCAGAATGACACCTGCCGTGTTAACTTTACATGCATCAAGATCAAATTGAGACTGGGCATCACTGTGACTTTACATGCACCAAGACCAGATTGACATTAAGCATGGTTGTAACTTTATATAGGTCAAGACCAGACTGGCCATGCACATGGCCATGGCATTGTGGCTGTGATTTTTACATGGGTCTAGACCAGATTGGGCACTTTACATAGGTCAGACTAGATTGACTGTGGTTGTGACTTTACATAGGTCTAGACCAGATTGACATTGGCCATGGCTGTGACTTTACATAGGTCTTTGACATTGGCCATGATTGTAACTTTACCCAGATTGACATTAGCCATGGCTGTGACTTTACATAGATCAAGACCAGATTGACATTGGCCAAGGCTGTGACTTTACATAGGTCTGACTTTGACACTTTACATAGGTAGACAGATACATAGGTCTTCAGACCATACATTGATTGTGACTTTACATAGACCAGATTGACATTTTACATGGCCATGACCAGATTGACATTGGCTGGCTGTGACATAGGTCTAGACCAGATCTGCCAGTGGTGACTTTACATGTGTCTTGACCAGAATGACACCTGCCATGTTAACTTTACATGCATCAAGATCAAATTGAGACTGGGCATCACTGTGACTTTACATGCATCAAGACCAGATTGACATTAAGCAAGGCTGTGTCTTTATATAGGTCAAGACCAGACTGACATTAAGCATGGTTGTAACTTTATATAGGTCAAGACCAGAATAGCACTGGCCATGGTTGTGTCTTTACATGGGTCTAGACCAGATTGGCATTGGTCATGGCTGTGATTTTACATAGGTCTAGACCAGATTGACATTAGGCATGGCTGTGACTTTACATAGGTAGGCCAAGACCAGATTGGCATTGGCCAAGGCTGTGACTTTACATAGGTCTAGACCAGATTGACATTGGCCATGGCTTGTGACTTTACATAGGTCTAGACCAGATTGACATTGGCCATGGCTGTGACTTTACATAGATCTAGACCAGATTGACATTGGCCATGGCTGTGACTTTACATAGGTCTAGACCAGATTGACATTTGCCATGGATGTGACTTTACATAGGTCTAGACCAGATTGACATTGGCCATTATTGTAACTTTACATAGGTCTAGACCAGATTGACATTAGGCATGGCTGTGACTTTACATGCATCAAGACCAGATTGACATTGGCCAAGGCTGTGACTTTACATAGGTCTAGACCAGATTGACATTGGCCATGGATGTGACTTTACACAGGTCAAGACTAGATTGACATTTGCCAAGGCTGTGACTTTACATAGGTCTAGACCAGATTGACATTAGGCATGGCTGTGACTTTACATAGGTCTAGACCAGATTGACATTGGCCATGGCTGTGACTTTACATAGATTAAGACCAGATTGACATTGGCCAAGGCTGTGACTTTACATAGGTCTAGACCAGATTGACATTGGTCATGGATGTGACTTTACACAGGTTAAGACTAGATTGACATTGGGCATGGCTGTGACATTACATAGGTCTAGACCAGATTGACATTGGGCATGCCTGTGACTTTACATAGGTCTAGACCAGATTGACATTAGGCATGGCTGTGACTTTACATAGGTCTAGACCAGATTGACATTGGCCATGGCTGTGACTTTACATAGATTAAGACCAGATTGACATTGGCCGAGGCTGTGACTTTACATAGGTCTAGACCAGATTGACATTGGCCATGGATGTGACTTTACACAGGTTAAGACTAGATTGACATTGGGCATGGCTGTGACATTACATAGGTCTAGACCAGATTGACATTGGGCATGGCTGTGACTTTACATAGGTCTAGACCAGATTGACATTGGCCATGGCTGTGACTTTACATAGGTCTAGACCAGATTGACATTGGCCATGGCTGTGACTTTACACAGGTTAAGACTAGATTGACATTGGGCATGGCTGTGACATTACATAGGTCTAGACTAGATTGACATTTGGCATGGCTGTGACATTACATAGGTCTAGACCAGATTGACATTGGGCATGCCTGTGACTTTACATAGATCAAGACCAGATTGACATTGGCCATGGTTGTGACTTTACATAGGTCTAGACCAGATTGACATTAGGCATGGCTGTAACTTTACATAGATCAAGACCAGATTGACATTGGCCAAGGCTGTGACTTTACATAGGTCAAGACCAGATTGACATTGGCCAAGGCTGTGACTTTACATAGATCAAGACCAGATTGACATTAGGCATGGTTGTAACTTTACCTAGGTCTAGACCAGATTGACATTAGGCATGGTTGTGACTTTACATGCATCAAGACCAGATTGACATTAGGCATGGCTGTGATAAGGAAAATATCCGGCTTTCATTACGTGCTATGGCAAAGGCTATTACATTTATATATATATATACTAAAAATTAACTGTTAAATATATACAGGAAATGAACTCACATTCGTCCTTTCACAACAAAATCAAAATCACACTCTCTTTTGAACAAACACATTCGCGCTCAACCATACAGACGCACATCACCACACATGCACGCGCGCACGCACGCACGCGACGCATCGCGCGCGCACGCACATTCGCACGCACACATTCTTGCACACACACATAACCACATACATACATAATCACAATGTAATCTATGATGACAGTCTAGTTCCTCATCCGCTTAGCGGCATGAAGGGTATCGGCAAATTCCACAGCCTTTCTCTTGCCACAGGTCACTGCCCTGATAGGCTCATTTGTTCCAGACGTGTTCGTCCTTGACCTCTTAATGCCTTTCACATCTTGGACATCGTCATGCTGCCTCTTTCTGCCCTTGGCTTGGGTCACGAGCTCATCGTCTCCGCCACCATGAGAGCCGGCCTGGAATAAGAAAACGTTTGTAGTTCAGGTCCCGAACTGACAACATTGGGAGAGGTGATACCATCTAGAAACTAATATAAACGATGGATGTGTGGGTTAGGTGGTGTCAATGTGGCACCAGAGGACGACAGTGCCACGATCACCGGCTGTCAGTCAGTCATAAAGCTGCTATTATGGATTAATAGGTTACTCTTGCCAACACATTATTTTCAGAAAAAAACATCTGTACATGTATTTTCAGCTCTCACGGGAGACTCTCCTTCCACTAGAAGTCATATCATTTCAGAATATCCAGCAAGTTATGAAATAGTATATCTGCACACTAGTGGACGTGGTCCCTGTTTGATTGAAAACGCTGTGTTTCTTTTGTCAGTTATAGTCTAGCTATATGATGCCGGACAAATCAGGATTAACATCATGAGCATCGATCTATGCAATCAAGATACGATGACAGGCATCCTCATGTCAGCAACCTGACTTACTACCGCCTTGAAATAACGGTTCTAAATCTATCCACTTCACTAATCCACCATTCCACATTTTATCCAAGAATCATTATTAAATCATTTATTTTTACAAGACTAATAACCTAAAGACCTCTTACCATTCCATATCAGTATGGACCTTCACACTGACCTGATTCATGTTAACATGACATTAAAGTGAGATACTGTTACATGTGTCAACACTTGTGGTTCACTTACATTCAGGGCGTGTTTGAGACTCAGTTTTGACATGGGTGGGACAAGGGTAGCGATGACGTCCCCTACATAGGGGGCTGTTGGTTGTGCAGGGGGCCGGAGGAGGCCAATGATGTTGGTGTCGTAGTCAATCTGGAAGAGGAGACAACCTATTTTGTAGAATGTTTACACGTGTAATCAGTTTGTTGTTTTGTAGCTATATGACAGCAGTCTGTATATAATCGAGTCTGGAGCAGACATTCCGGTGAGTGACATCATAAGCATCGATCTTCGAAACATACATTAACTAAGTCAGCGAGCCTGACCACATGATATCATTAGTCGCCTCTTAAACAAGCCTGGGTTGCTGGAGACCCTGATCTCCACAGGTCTGTCAAATTTGTAGAAGAAATATAAATGGAATAGACCTATGCAAGTGGTTGAAAGTAAAAACATCAACCACTTAATCAAGCATCATAACGTAACTATTACAAATCATTGACGCTATTCAAGGTATAGTTTGAGTCTTGAATAGCATCAATGTTTGTAACACTGAATGCCAACGAAAAGAAAGAACCCTAAATATGAAGCACACCAGAAATGCTCCTGCGATGGTGATGTTTTGGGGAGCTTAATTCAAGTTTTTTCACTGAGTTTGGCGTCAAATCCGAATTGCATGTGTATATTTTTCTATTGATCAACAGTTAATGTCACATAGCACATCGCTTCCACCTACCATGTCTTCATCAAACCACGGGGCGAAGGCTCGAGGCTGAAAGGTTAAGAAACACCATTAGCTTTGCTCTATTCTGTTTGTTTGTTGTTTAACCCCGCACACAACTATATTCCAGCTATATGGCAACGGTCTGTAAGTAATAGAGTCTGGACCAGACAATCCAGTGATTGACATTATGTGCATGAATCAACACAAGTAGGATATACAAGCATGGGTTGCTGAAGACCAATTCTAACCCGTATCTTATCAGGTTAATTTTCTCTTAATCATTTGAAACGTTGACAATTAAGGCAAGAGACAATGTGCATTTCACAGTGTGCGGGCCTACCCTGTAAGACGACACATGCAAGGACTAGTTATACTAGTATCCCTTAGATGGTAATGAACCGATAGATGATTTCCTCAGATGAGTTCACAACACCAAGTGACATTATCAGAGTTAGCAGACGAAGCACAGCAGAATTTGGACGACTATTCAAACATAGATTTGACTACAGCCTCATTCCAGATCAGCAACCCCTTCAATACACATAATACTTTTTCATGGGTTGCTCACAGGGACACCTACCTCCTGTTTACATAGGGGTATTGGTTCATCCCATAGATGGCATCCCCACAGCAGTTTATTGAGGGGGTTAAACTCTTTGGTCATGTGGAAAAAGCGTTCGACTTCGGTCCGTGGTTTGAACCCCAGCTCGGAAGTATTATGCCCGCTACACCTACTTTTCCTAAGTGTTTTGAGGAAGACGTTCTGTACCAAGCATGAAGTGATGGACAGTGCGACTCACCTGTGGCTTGTATCTGATGGCGTGGAGCTTCTCATCCAGAGAGACAGAGTTCATGGATTTGCGGGCCTGAAAGACATCAACATGAATCAGTTTTACAAACTTTGTACCATAATTTGAGTAGATAAACTAGATTTTAGTTGTTTGAAGGTCGATGTTTGTAGAACAGTATTATTCTGTGGCTTAGAATGGATGTAGCTTTGAATAGCATTTTCAGTGATATAGATAAACTTTCCATGTAACAGTGAAGGTATTGTAGCTATCATTTCACTACTTACTACTGACACAAGTAAACTGCTATTACCACAGGTAAACTGCTATTACCATTGTTGGACTAACTGCACTATAACTACAGCTACCATAATTAAACCTCCGCTACGATAGCTAAGCTACCACTATCAAAGATTAACTATCTCTACCATGGCTAAACTATCACTACCACCATATAACTTAACTAAATTGTACTAATACCACAACTAAACGTCCACTACAATAGTACAGCTACTACTACCATAACTAAACTATCACTACCAAACTGCTGAAACAACAGCTACACTACTGAGAGCTAAACAAACAGCACTGCAACTGAACTATACCACAGCTAAACTACTCTCATCACAGTTCAACTACAACTAAACACGTAAACACCGGTAACCTAGGTAAACTACACTACCATAACTAATGAAGTGACATCACACGTAAATTACCACTACCACAGGTGTACTACCACTACCACAGCTACTGACACCACTACCAGTCAACTACAACCACTACCACTACCACTACCACATGTGTACTACCACTACCACAGCTACTGACACCACTACCAGTCAACTGCAACCACTACCATAGGTAATCTGATGCTATTTAGGGGGCATGGGGTAGCCCAGAGGTTAAAGCATTCGCTTATCATGCTGATATCATGTTCGATTCCTCACATGGGTACATTGTGTGATGCCCATTTCTGGTGCTGGAATATTGCTAAAAGCGGCATAAAAGCCAACTCACTCACTCACACACTGATACTATTTCTGTATCTCACCTGGAGGATATGTCCAGCAGCAAGTCTTGCCCTCAGGATTGCAGTGAGACGTGAGTCTTCATCCGGGTATGTAGGGGCGTTCACGGTGTCGGTGATTGATGTTGCCGAGCAGGAGTCTGTATCGGTCTCCCAGCTGCTACTGTCACAGTCAGACCAGGATTCGTCCCCAGAGTCTGGCATCTCTTGACTTCTCAGCTCCAAAATCTGAATCCAAATATCTTGCATGTAACGTTTCCCATCATGACGTTTTGTTGTTTGAGGAAGTCGTGTGGTTGAGACCTAGATTTGATGAGGTTATGATCCTTGATCGATCAAAAGTCTACAGACTCTGACCCGGCCATTCTGTGTATCCACAAGGCAGTGTAACAACAAACATAATCTTTTAATGTCTTTTGGTATGACGAAAATTGGTCTTCAAGCAGATGCCCTATTCGCTAACCAAAGGAAACGGTCAAGTGTCTAGGTCATAGCCAACTATGGACCATTGAGTCCCATGTCTAGGTCATGGCCAACTATGGACCCTTGCGTCTCATGTGGAGATCATGGCCAACTGTGGACCCTCGCGTCCCATGACTAGGTCATGGACAACTATGGACCTTTGAGTTCAATGTCTAGGTCATGACCAGCTATGGACCCTTGAAACATGTCTTGGTCATGACCAAGCATCCACTTGTAAATCGCACACTCCTTCAACATGTAAAATGTGTACCAGAGTATAATTTGTCTGTTTAACCCTTAATTTGTAAATAATCGAGTCTGGGCCAGACAACCCAGCATCATGAGGATCGATCTTAAACACGATGACATGTGTCAACCAAGTCAGCATGCCTGACTGCTCGATCCTGTTAGTCGTGTCTTACAACAAGCATGGGTTGCTGAAGATCAATTCTAACCTGTATCTACTCGGGTACCTGATAAAGAACTATACACCATATACATGTATTCGCACATACAGTGATGACAACAATGTGATATGTGTAATTATCATCCAATTAAAGAATCCATTAAATAAACAAAATTACCATTTTTATTGCCATTTGACGACGGGCCTCATAGTCTGACGAGGCAGATTCTCCACTTGGCTGTGAACAGCTTGGTTTTACCATGGTGGCTGCTGTGTTAGAGGGCTGTTTCTTCACAGATACTTGCTCAGGGGTGATAACTCTTGTCTTAGCAGATACTTGCTCAGGGGTGATAACTCTTGTCTTAGTAGATACTTGCTCAGGGGAGATAACTCTTGTCTTAGTAGATACTTGCTCAGGGGTGATAACTCTTGCCTTAGTAGATACTTGCTCAGGGGTGATAACTCTCGTCTTACCAGACACCTGCTCAGGGGTGATAACTCTCGTCTTACCAAAGATGTCTTCATCCGAGGGGGAGGAAGGAAGAGCAATTCTTGCAGCTTGTTCGATCCTCAGCTCAGTCTGAAGATATTTGCACACATATACTAGTACTCCATTGTATGTTCTTAGAATAAATTCTAAAGTTTAGACTGTTAGCTTTATAAAAACTACAACCATGTCAATGCTAAATGAAATGTTTTAACCCCACTTCAATTTCCTTTCAAACATTTAGATGTAAACCTAAGGTTGGTAAAGGCACTACACTTGTGGGATGTGGGCAAACCTCGAACATAGAGCGGACTTAGGACACTGATGGTTACACATCTGAACAGTGACTTAGACTAAGTTTCTGAGAGCTTATACCTTTGATTGCATATACAACATTTAACAGATTCCCAGTGGCTTTCGGGACTTGTGGATAATCTTGCTTCATTTAGGGATATTGCGTTCCTGTAAGGGCTTGGCAGACGGGACAATAATGTGGTTCAGGGATAGTGAGACTGAATAGATTTGTGGCACCCAACCCTTACCCCTCTGCCCTGTCAAGGCTTATTGCTAGTTCAGTTGAGGGGCTGGGAAGGCATAAGGGTTCCACACCAATAATTCAGACATATGTTTGAACGATCAATGATTACCTTATTTCCAGATGTAGAAGGCTGGATGTTTCTCTTGACATCATTAACTGTTGTCTTGGCAACAGCATCTCTGGCAGGGGCAGGAGACCAGATGGGCTCTTCCTTGTGTGAAATAACTTTGGCTAAAGCTCCATCTGGAGCGCGGTTCAAAGGTGAGACTCCCTTCTGAGATTTACCAGCGTTGGAGAAGCCATTTTCAGTGTCTGATGCACCCAGGGTAGTGTAGGCTCTAACAAGGTTTGAGTATCGAGGATTCTCCTGGCAATTCGGGTCTGACAAACTTCTGTGAGAAGAGATCCAGTTGTAGAATTGATCCCGTGTTGAAGTGTGAGCTCTGGACTCCCTTTTAGGGAATCGCGGACCTGTGGACAGAATATTATTTCACTGAGTAAGAGTTTTTGCACTCAGGACTAACATGACATACAATACCCTGTGTCATATTCATGGTTCTTCTTTTGCCATCATTTCAGTCTATATCCATACCCCCCTGCTATGTTTTATACTGTTATACCATATCATGTCAAATATGAGTAGGTGGGTTTCTGTTTCCTACATAAACCAGAAAAATAAAGAGACGTAATGTAAAACATACAATTGCCATATTATCTGTTACCTAAAGATGTACGAGTGCAAAGTGCTGTATTTAAAATGACAACGTCAGAGATTACCGAGTCTCTAATGTACAACATAATCCGTGGGGCGCAAACAGCATGTTAGTAATGTAAAATTATACCCATAAATTGCTGAAAATCAGTAATGACACCAGGTGTTCACAAAAAGTGTACTAGCCCTAACACTAGCACCCGCTACTCACTCTATTTTTGTCAAAGAAGTAAGAGATAGTGACCAAGGAAGTGCGAAAACTCATGGCTTTAAGGTCATGGCAATATAACATGGTATTATAAAAATAAAATAAAGTGGCCATTGACCATACTGACGATCAACGAAAAAAGGTATTTGATTTGGGCATGGTCCAAATACTACACTAATACCTATGACAGAATGTGGGCAAACTACAGAAACTGTAGCTATCACCATCACAGAATGTGGGCACTCTACAGAAACTGTAGCTATCACCATCACAGAATGTGGGCACACTAGGGAAACTGTAGCTATCACCATCAAATAATGTGGGTACACTACAGAAACTGTAGCTATCACCATCACAGAATGTGGGCATACTACAGAAACTGTAGCTATCACCATCACAGAATGTGGGCACACTACAGAAACTGTAGCTATCACAATCAAAGAATGTGGGCATACTATAGAAACTGTAGCAATCACCATCACAGAATGTGGGCACTCTACAGAAACTGTAGCTATCACCATCACAGAATGTGGGCACACTACAGAAACTGTAGCTATCACCATCACAGAATGTGGGCACACTACAGAAACTGTAGCTATCACCATCAAATAATGTGGGCACACTACAGAAACTGTAGCTATCACCATCACAGAATGTGGGCATACTTTAGAAACTGTTGCTATCACCATCACAGAATGTGGGCATACTATAGAAACTGTTGCTATCACCATCAAATAATGTGGGCACACTGCAGAAACTGTAACTATCACCATGACAGAATGTGGGCACACTACAGAAACTGTAGCTATCACCATCACAGAATGTGGGCACACTACAGAAACTGTAGCTATCACCATCACAGAATGTGGGCACTCTACAGAAACTGTAGCTATCACCATCACAGAATGTGGGCACACTAGGGAAACTGTAGCTATCACCATCAAATAATGTGGGCACACTGCAGAAACTGTAGCAATCACCATCAAATAATGTGGGCACACTACAGAAACTGTAGCTATCACCATCACAGAATGTGGGCACACTACAGAAACTGTAGCTATCACCAACACAGAATGTGGGCACACTGCAGAAACTGTAGCTATCACCATCACAGAATGTGGGCACACTAGGGAAACTGTAGCTATCACCATCAAATAATGTTGGCACACTACAGAAACTGTAGCTATCACCATCAAATAATGTGGGCACACTACAGAAACTGTAGCTATCACCATCACAGAATGTGGGCACACTACAGAAACTGTAGCTATCACCATCACAGAATGTGGGCACACTAGGGAAACTGTAGCTATCACCATCAAATAATGTGTGCACACTACAGAAACTGTAGCTATCACAATCAAATAATGTGGGCACACTACAGAAACTATAGCTATCACCATCACAGAATGTGGGCATACTTTAGAAACTGTAGCTATCACCATCACAGAATGTGGGCACACTACAGAAACTGTAGCTATCACCATCACAGAATGTGGGCACACTACAGAAACTGTAGCTATCACCATCACAGAATGTGGGCACACTACAGAAACTGTAGCTATCACCATCAAATAATGTGGGCACACTACAGAAACTGTAGCTATCACCATCAAATAATGTGGGCACACTACAGAAACTGTAGCTATCACCATCACAGAATGTGGGCACACTACAGAAACTGTAGCTATCACCATCACAGAATGGGGGCACACTAGGGAAACTGTAGCTATCACCATCAAATAATGTGGGCACACTACAGAAACTGTAGCTATCACCATCACTGAATGTGGGTATACTATAGAGACTGTTGCTATCACCATCAAATAATGTGGGCACACTACAGAAACTGTAGCTATCACCATCACAGAATGTGGGCATACTACAGAAACTGTTGCTATCACCATCAAATAATGTGGGCACACTACAGAAACTGTAGCTATCACCATCACAGAATGTGGGCATACTATAGAAACTGTTGCTATCACCATCACAGAATGTGGGCACACTACAGAAACTGTAGCTATCACCATCAAAGAAACTGTAGCTATCACCATCAAATAATGTGGGCACACTACAGAAACTGTAGCTATCACCATCAAAGAATGTGGGCACACTACAGAAACTGTAGCTATCACCATCACAGAATGTGGGCACACTACAGAAACTGTAGCTATCACCATCACAGAATGTGGGCACACTACAGAAACTGTAGCTATCACCATCACAGAATGTGGGCACACTACAGAAACTGTAGCTATCACCATCAAAGAATGTGGGCACACTACAGAAACTGTAGCTGTAGCTATCACCATCACAGAAATGTGGGCATACTACCAGAAACTGTAGCTATCACCATCAAATAATCACCATCAAATAATGTGGGCTACAGAAACTGCTGCTATCACCATCACATAACCATCACAGAATGTGGGCACACTACAGAAACTGTGTCACAGAATGTGGGCACACTACAGAAACTGTAGCTATCACCATCACAGAATGTGGGCACACTACAGAAACTGTAGCTATCACCATCAAATAATGCATCACCATCAAAGAATGTGGGCACACTACAGAAACTGTAGCTATCACCATCACAGAATGTGGGCACTCTACAGAAACTGTAGCTATCACCATCACAGAATGTGGGCACACTACAGAAACTGTAGCTATCACCATCAAAGAATGTGGGCACACTACAGAAACTGTAGCTATCACCATCACAGAATGTGGGCACACTACAGAAACTGTAGCTATCACCATCACAGAATGTGGGCACACTACAGAAACTGTAGCTATCACCATCACAGAATGTGGGCACACTACAGAAACTGTAATCACCATCAAATAATGTGGGCACACTACAGAAACTGTAGCTATCACCATCAAATAATGTGGGCACACTACAGAAACTGTAGCTATCACCATCACAGAATGTGGGCATACTACAGAAACTGTAGCTATCACCATCACAGAATGTGGGCACACTACAGAAACTGTAGCTATCACCATCACAGAATGTGGGCATACTACAGAAACTGTAGCTATCACCATCACAGAATGTGGGCACACTACAGAAACTGTAGCTATCACCATCAAAGAATGTGGGCACACTATCACCATCAACTGTAGCTATCACCATCAAAGAATGTGGGCACACTACAGAAACTGTAGCTATCACCATCACAGAATGTGGGCATTCTATCAGAAACTGTAGCTATCACCATCACAGAATGTGGGCAAACTACAGAAACTGTAGCTATCACCATCACAGAATGTGGGCACACTACAGAAACTGTAGCTATCACCATCAAATGAACATGGGCACACTACAGAAACTGTAGCTATCACCATCACAAAATGTGGGCATACTATAGAAACTGTAGCTATCACCATCACATAATGTGGGCACACTACAGAAACTGTTGCTATCACCATCAAATAATGTGGGCACACTACAGAAACTGTAGCTATCACCATCACAGAATGTGGCATACACTAAAGAAACTGTCACAGAATGCCATCTATCACCATCAAAGAATGTGGGCACACTAAAGAAACTGTAGCTATCACCATCACAGAATGTGGGCACACTACAGAAACTGTAGCTATCACCATCACAGAATGTTGGCACACTACAGAAACTGTAGCTATCACCATCACAGAATGTGGGCATACTATAGAAACTGTAGCTATCACCATCACAGAATGTGGGCACACTACAGAAACTGTAGCTATCACCATCAAAGAATGTGGGCACACTACAGAAACTGTAGCTATCAGTCAGTGGACACACTGCAGAAACTGTAGCTATCACCATCAAAGAAACTGTAGCTTGTACTGTGACAGAATGTGTCCCTTCTGTAGAAACTATGCACCCAGCATTATGACAAAGTGTTGACCTTTAGAATTTATTGTGATAGTAATCATTCATTTCTAACACACTCAAAAGGATTTGAACTGAATGCATCTGCTGCACTTTTTATTAATATTGAAAACTATTGATACATCAATCAAAAATGAAATATGATATGTCACAAAGCATGAACTCATTGAATGAATTAGTTGACATGATATACGTGTATAAAATACTTACCTCATACACAAACAAACACAGTTTCAATCGATATGTTTTATTTCATTCGTGCTGAGTTTTGATTCGAAGAAGAAATGAACGAAACAAAAGAGGAAAAGGAGCAAAAATGATTACTCATCCACCGTGTGTAACCTTTGATTTATTCGCGGTCTTAGTAGTCAGTCAGTTTATTATTTATGTTACACTATCTATAATATTACACTACATCACCTACATAGCCGTTCATTAAATTCATTGTATCACTTTTGTACACCAAGTCGACGCATTCAGCTAGTGTTAGGATATCTACCCAATCCCATAAGCCATGATGTCAATGACGAAAGGTTTCGAAGTCTTCTGGGCGGAATATTCGAACTGACGAATTATTAAATATTCATATTCAATTTTGAAATAAATTCAACGTAAATACGACGACCCCAGTGGAAGTATTATCATACGCTTCGTTGGTTCTAGTGCACTGAGACGAACTGGCTCAAAATCCCCGTAGTATTGAGTCGGTAGGCTTAGGAAATGAAACTAAACAGTCTGAAAAAGGACGGGTCAGAAAAATAGAACAAATATATAGAAAACAGAGAAATAAAACAACAGAAAAGAAACACAACTGAACTGAAATACCTGAAGAGTTTCTCTGATACATGTCAACAATGCTAAACGAAGAAACCCATAGAAAAACAGGAGGAAAGGAAGACAGACATGTAGACGTGATGCGACTGTCAGGTGACAATCTGCAAAGATGGCAGGCGTTGCTAGGCGACTATTACTATAAAAAGTAGCCCGGATGATATCACATCGTATTTTTCTGTTATTATTGAAATACAGAAACAATACTAGGGTCTTATTTATCTTAATTAGTTTATTTGTGCAAAATTTATGCAATATTTTCAAGACATTTACGAAATTTTGTGTTCTCTCGTGACACCGTGACTAAAATGCCAAGCGCTACCATGACGTCATGTGTTTGTGACGTCATCGAATTCTCACCTCGGGTCCATTCGGCTTGTTCCGTTTTCACATGCCCTACCATAAGAAATCGTAAAGCCTAAAAGTAAAACACCTACGTTTTCAATGGAAACTGCAATAAACTGATTGCATGCGCGCTCGGATTTTACTGTGCGTGATGTACTGTGTTTGAGCCCATTGGAAATGTGGCGGGTGTCATCATTACGATTCATGTTTTGTAACATTAGCGTGGCTATTTCTATTTAAAAATGTTTGGACATATTCCAGTTTAGTTGCTCTCTGCTGGTTTTCCACGGTTGACCTGAAAAGTGAGTCAGTGAGTTTGGTTTTACGTCGCTTTTTGCAATATTCCAGCAATATCACGGCGGGGGATACCAGAAATCGGCCTCACAAGGGCCTCATGGAAAGTCCCCGTCACAAGGGCCTCACCCATGTAAAGTCGAACCCGTGTCTCGGCGTAACGAGCGAACGCTTTAATCACTAGGCTACACCACCTCCCCTGATCTGAAAAGTACACAGTGTACTCAAACTGTGTGTTTTACTAACTTCAATCACTCCATGAAGAGTGGTACTTTGTATCTGAGTAAAACAGCTTTAAATTATTGATATTTATTGAATTGTGAAGGTGGGAACATTTGTGACTCAAGTCACATTGCATGGTATGCAAACTATTCAGTTTCGTTATACAGCTGAGCTCACACGTGAGCAGATGGAAGTAAATGTCCCTCGAGAATATCTGTGTACCGATCACTGTTCATATTCCCTTCAAATACACAGAGGGGCGTTGCCCCTAACACAGATATGCCACCCCACACGTTAAATTTCGGAATGTACTTTGGGCGCTGATACAAAGGTTTTTCAGTTTGTTTGGTCCAGAATTTCAGTGTATTAGCAAACATCAACACAGAACTTTCATCTGAGAAAATCCCATTGTCCCAGTTAAAATTTCTATGCTGTAAGCACCAGTTGAACCTTCGCTCCTTTTTGTTCAGGTTTCATGATCAGTGATGGAATTCCTCGACTTTTCTGCCAACCCATTGCATGCAGCTCAGTTCTAATTGTCTCCTTACAGACAGCCACAGTTCCTCTATCAATCATATCCAGCCTTAAGTTTTCTAAACTCCTTCGTTTGTTTTTAGAAACAAGAATACCTGTCACCGACAGTCAATTTTCTGGGCCTACCTGCGCCTCCCTAGTGCTCAATGCATTGAGCACCAGGGAGGCGCAGGTAGACCCAGAAAATTGCCATATCCATTTGCAATATTTTTCAAAACACAATAAACGGTGGACAAAGGGATGCCTGTTCTACTTGAAATCACTTTAGCTGATCTGATGTCCTTGTTATAATACTCTAAAATCAACTTCCTCTTCTCTAAATCATCCATAAGTTGAGGATCACTGAAAATGTCGTCTGCTAGCAAGTAAACAAAGGGGATAACTCTTCACAAACTAATGAAAAAGGATTAACGGAGTTGTCTCTCTTGAATGAAACCAAGCACTTGATAGCTGGTCAAGGTTGTTTATACTAGAAATCCAATTAAACATATTCCTAAAATTCTCAATAATTTCTGGTCATACTATAGCTAGGTGGCCTCGTGGTCTGAGGTGCAGCTTAACCATGCCAGGTGCTTCTGATCGATGGTTCAATTCCCGTTTTCGCCCAGGGTTTGTCTGCGCCATACCCGGACTCACATCGCTTGTGGTTCTCATTGCGTGTTTAGGTGTTATGACTGACGGACTGTTGAACCTCGTTAAACCAAACTCAATCAGTCTTGGGAAACAACTGGAAGCGAGATCTAAACTGCAGCACCTATTCTTGAAAGGTGGGCGGTGGGGTAGCCTAGTGGTTAAAGCGTTCGCTCGTCACGCCGAAGACTAAGATTCACCATAAGGGAACAATGTGTGAAGCCCATTCCCGGTGTCCCCGACGTGATATTGCTGTGATATTGCTAAAAGCGACGTAAAACTAAACCCACTCGTGAACTCACTCTTGAAAGGTTGTGTTTCTACTGTATACAACATTGTTCCCCTAAACTCACTCACTCACATTGACAACAACATGTGCTGAATGTGGGTTCGATTCCAAGTTAGGATGAATAAAACCATTGTTTTGTCAGCACCAAATTTGTTATTTTGCGTATCACCAAGGTATTAAAGTTTCAAGCATGGTTTCCTTTTTTCTCATTTCACATGAAGCTGACGCGTTGTGACACCACTGGTAAAGTTCAGTATTGCATTTTTAGCAAAAAGTTAAAGATCCGTCCGGTTAAACATCCGGTTCAGATTCTCGCGACCTCCCGATATTACTTCCGGTTTATTTGGAAAATAATGGATTCTGACTGGTGAAAATAAGTTTTCGACATGAGTGACAGAAATATGCCAATAGACAACAGTGTTCACGAACTGAAGTTAGGCAGGAGTTTTGATCCTTCCACCCGGGCAGCTTTTCATTCAATACGCTGTGAGTCCTAACAGAATGTACAGATTACACCGCCAAATATGGTGGACGAAACAACGATTTTTCGAATCACTGCCACAAATCCCATCCTATATCTCCGCCTGCAAACCTAAATGGCTAAAACTCATGTATGAGTGAAGAGATAATGATTTGTTTGACTAACAGATAGCTGATGAGTTATGGAATCATAACACAAATATATATCTTTATATCTTTCTGCCCCCTTACATTGCAATTTATGTCTGCAACAGGATGGGAGGAAAGTGTTTACAAGGACCGCGGATTCAGATTTTACATATTCTGTGTTTATTTGGCTCATCTTGGGTTGGGTCACGTAAAACATACAAAACTATTATCAGTAATTACCCCATCAGGATAAAAACAGTCACCATGTTGGTTCTGTATGATCATGATGATGACATTCACCCTGTTCACCCATAATTCAATCTTTTTACAGAATTCACAGCAATGTGTTTTGTCAGTGAAAGATCCTCACACCTCTAGTGATTTATCTAGAACTAATCAAATGCCGATATTTGACCACAAATATGGTGGATAACAATAAGCCTCAGTCCTATAAAATTCAGAATAGATTTGAAACCCTCTAACCTGTTATCATGCATTACACAATGGCTGGTGACAGATATTATCAGACAATGAGAAAATATTATATATTTCTCAATTCTATATGTTATTCTCAGCCATGTTGGTTGAGTGAAGGACACCAGGTGAACTATGAATGTTGATGTTGCAGATGACTTCAAACCAGCATCAGTAGACACAGCACGAGAGGCAGTTTTTGAAGTTGGCGAAGGACACCAGGTGTCTGTTACAGTTCCACCGCGTTACAGGTGAGACACTGGCTGAAACATCTAAAAGATTTGAATCCCAAATTTACCCTGATTGTTTCTAGGTTTGTCTGAACCACATCAATATTTTGTGATTTCACCTGCTTCAGGCTTTTCTCCCACACGAAACTGTCATATAACTGGAATACTGTTCAAAGCAACACTGGGCGGTGCGGTAGCCTAGTGGTTAAAGCGTTCACTCATCACAACGAAGACCCAGGTTCATTTCACCACATGGGTAGAATATGTGAAGCCCATTTCTGGTGTCCCCCTCCATGATATTACTGGAATATTGCTACAAGCTGGGTAAAACTAAACTCACTCACTCACTCAAAGCAGCACTGAACCAAATTCACTTCCATACTCACTAGGAAGGATAACAATGTACGGATGAACAACTTTATCACAGTGGTGTATCAATATGGAATGAAGTCAGTTGTTAAGTTTATATAGTAATTAATTAATAGTATGGTAATTCTTGCAACATTCAGGTTAGTCATAGTGCCTTTCAGCTGAAATAGCTTTTATCCAATGCTTATCCAATGTCACATGCAAAGTACCCATTGTGCCTTTTATCATCTAAGTATAAACAAAATTATAAGCGTGCAATCGCGAAATCAAAGTGCAATATTGTGTTCTTCGGTTTACTTCCCAAGAAAGCGAAGCAGCGGGATACCGACCCAGTCAGGCGGTGGGTGTGCACTCAAGTGTAACGGCTGGTTCATTTTGCAGATGCCCTCCGCGGCTTATTGTGTTATTATGTATGTAGAGATGTTGGGTTTTGTAAATACATGCTCATTTTTTGTGTATAACATTTTGCAATCAACAGACATCAAAACATGTCATGTGTTCAACTATCACACCTGCCTGTCTGTGTAATTACATAATGTAATCAATGCATTTTGTTTATGGTGTATAGCCTGATTGGTGTTAAGTTCAAATTTGCATGTGCTCAGTGACAGCAGCTGTGTATTGAATATTGTCATTAGCAGACAGGCAGGCAGACACACAGGTGTCAATAAAACAAGACATTGAGTTTTGTCTGTGAACAGCGACATTTCTATATCACAGTTAGAAATTCTGTCAGCAGCTAAATAATGACATTGCTTTTATGTATCGAACTGAGAAAGTGACTTCGGTAAGAAAGAGCGTGTGGTGAAATTATATAAACAGTTAATTTACTGTCATAACATATAAAAAGCTTCGGCCTGTGAGATATCAACACAACATTAGAAAAATAAGCTCACACCAAAGCCTTCACTGAGTATTCACGGACAACCCACTTCAAGCTGCGCGAACCCTATTTCACTCTTGGATGATGCTATGAGCCAGCCTGGCTGTTGAAACCCATTTTTCCCCAGAAAGTCTGGGGAAAATTAGTGAAAGCGTTGAACTCTGATTTCGGCGCTGTTTTCATCGGCGTTATTTTTCCAACTTTATAAGTTGAATTTGCATTTTTTGATGATTTGTTTGGTGAAGTCCATACCAAAGGTAGCCGGAATCTGCAAAGTTGTGTTTTCACGTTGCATGTGACCTTTAATCATATCAATTTTGTGTTACAGGAATTCAGGAACAAGCCATACAGTGTACCAAGGGCAACAAGAAGCCATGTCAAAGGAGTGTGTGTTGATCGTATCGACCATGACACTGGAACATTTACACTGGAGAAACTCACAAACACAATACAGCTGAAGAAAACCAGGTGTGCAGGACCTACTCAGCTTCATGCACATCAAACCCGTGAAGATCTGGGTTAAAATTGATCTTCAGTAACCCATGCTAGAGGCAACTAACAGGATTGGGTGGTCATACTCGTTGACTTGGTTAACACACGTCGTTGTATCCCAATTGCGTAAATCGATATGTGTGATGTTGATCAATGATGGCTACACATGTCATGCTTGCATATTACAATTTACATATACAATTACCTGTTTCAGAATTGAAGGGTCAAGCCGCGCACAACAGCGACCTTTGACCCCTGTTGAAGTTGCTAAGCAACGACCTACATCACCTTCAAGACCCAAGACCAACCAAAGAAGTCCCTCATCTGTAAAAGGTTTCTCGCCAGTATCCAACAGTCAGCAAGACATGGATATAGGTACAGACTCGCTCTAAATATACATATATTTCTTATCCTGACTCATGCTAAATGCTTGTCTCCTTCTTCTTACGCGAATGATAGTGGAACACTTGAAATCCTTGAAGTTCCCTTCTAAAAAGCGGGCGTGATAAAATCATCACTCTCCCTTGCCTCCTTGGCCTCTTTGGTTACATTACCAGCTATGTATGTCTCTCTCCTTCTTCGCCCTTGAGGAGGGCCGGTTGTGAGAACACCTAACGTCCCTTTACAGCACATATCCTTTTCTATTTTGGACCTTTTACATATAAATGGCAGCTGTATATCGCTTTTGATTGTATATTATCAAAATGTTTTGATATTATGTCTAATTTATACGTTGTTTATGCCATGTTTTCATCTGGTTTACAATTGATGAAAACTTGTAGTTGTAGGTACTGCTGTCTGTGGCTGACCCTCAAGATATATTATGTCCCTGATTGCACTACTACATGTTCTTCCAGCTCTAAAAGTAAACATTGTCAGAAACTAACTACTTTTGAATTTAATAATTACCTTTTTCTCTTCATAGACGTGCAAGGACTGGGTAAGAAGGTAATCACAAGTCATGTCTGGTAAATCGAAAGATTGGCGCTGATCATCGATCGGTGTTAACTACTGCTCGCGGAGGTTCATAATTCCAGTGAATTGACGAAGCGTTCCACGAGGGCGAGTCGCTGTTCCAGTGATGAACTCTGTCTCCATTAAAGTAGAGATGCGTCGCCAACGGAGCTATCCTCATTGCAGACGAAGAAGACGCAGATCTTCTTCAGCGCAGAAGAAGAAGTTCAGCTCTAAGACTTCGCCGGGTTCTTCACAGCTCTATACGCGAGAAGACGAGATCCTTCACTCGCCGATATTGTACCTCCAGAAGAAAGCAGACGCAAGTATGATGAGTCCCCATCATCATACCTGAAGTCACAGTCGTCAGCAGGAAGACGGCTTCCGCTTCAACAGCTACATCGGGCAACTATATCAGCGCAGATATTGACAGAAGACTCTATCAACGCAGATATACCGGTACCAGAGATAGCAGCAGCGCCAACTTCGGGCTTCACAGCGCAGCCGCATCGCTTAGAAGACGCTAACGTTTTCAGGTATCATCATCAGTCTTGGGAAACAACTGGAAGCGAGATCTAAACTGCAGCACCTATTCTTGAAAGGTGGGCGAGTGAGGGTGGCCTAGTGGTTAAAGCGTTCCTGCTCGTCACGCCGAAGACTAAGATCTCACCATAAGGGGAACAATGTGTGAAGCCCATTCCCGGTGTCCCCTGACGTGATATTGCTGTGGATATTGCTAAAAAGCGACGTAAAAAGCTAAACCCACTCGCGAGCTCACTCTTAGAAAGGTTGTGTTTCTACTGTATACAACATTGTTCCCCTAAACTCACTCCATTACGACAACAACATGTGCTGAATGTGGGTTCGATTCCAAGCGATTAGGATGAATAAAACCATTGTTTTGTCAGCACCAAATTTGTTATTTTGCGTATCACCAAGGTATTAAAGTTTCAAGCATGGTTTCCTTTTTTCTCATTTCACAGCCGAAGCTGACGCGTTGTGACACCACTGGTAAAGTTCAGTATTGCATTTTAGCAAAGTTAAAGATCCGTCCGGTTAAACATCCGGTTCAGATTCTCGCGACCTCCCGATATTACTTCCGGTTTATTTGGAAAATAATGGATTCTGACTGGGTGAAAATAAGTTTTCGACATGAGTGACAGAAATATGCCAATAGACAACAGTGTTCACGAACTGAAGTTAGGCAGGAGTTTTGATCCTTCCACCCGGGCAGCTTTTTCATTCAATACGCTGTGAGTCCTAACAGAATGTACAGATTACACCGCCAAATATGGTGGACGAAACAACGATTTTTCGAATCGCTGCCACAAATCCATCCTATATCTCCGCCTGCAAACCTAAATGGCTAAAACTCATGTATGAGTGAAGAGATAATGATTTGTTTGACTAACAGATAGCTGATGAGTTATGGAATCATAACACAAATATATATCTTTATATCTTTCTGCCCCTTACATTGCAATTTATGTCTGCAACAGGATGGGAGGAAAGTGTTTTACAAGGACCGCGGATTCAGATTTTTACATATTCTGTGTTTATTTGGCTCATCTTGGGTTGGGTCACGTAAAACATACAAAACTATTATCAGTAATTACCCCATCGGGATAAAAACAGTCACCATGTTGGTTCTGTATGGCCATGATCATGATGATGACATTCACCCTGTTCACCCATAATTCAATCTTTTTACAGAATTCACAGCAATGTGTTTTGTCAGTGAAAGATCCTCACACCTCTAGTGATTTATCTAGAACTAATCAAATGCCGATATTTGACCACAAATATGGTGGATAACATTAAGCCTCAGTCCTATAAAATTCAGAATAGATTTGAAACCCTCTAACCTGTTATCATGCATTACACAATGGCTGGTGACAGATATTATCAGACAATGAGAAAATATTATATATTTCTCAATTCTATATGTTATTCTCAGCCATGTTGGTTGAGTGAAGGACACCAGGTGAACTATGAATGTTGATGTTGCAGATGACTTCAAACCAGCATCAGTAGACACAGCACGAGAGGCAGTTTTTGAAGTTGGCGAAGGACACCAGGTGTCTGTTACAGTTCCACACGTACAGGTGAGACACTGGCTAGAAACATCTAAAAGATTTGAATCCCAAATTTACCCTGATTGTTTCTAGGTTTGTCTGAACCACATCAGTAATTTGTGATTTCACCTGCATTGCTTTAGGCTTTTCTCCCACACCAAACTGTCATATAACTGGAATACTGTTCAAAGCAACACTGGGCGGTGGGGTAGCCTAGTGGTTAAAGCGTTCGCTCATCACGCCAAAGACCCAGGTTCATTTCACCACATGGGTACAATATGTGAAGCCCATTTCTGGTGTCCCCCGCCATGATATTACTGGAATATTGCTACAAGCTGGGTAAAACTAAACTCACTCACTCACTCAAAGCAGCACTGAACCAAATTCACTTCCATACTCACTAGGAAGGATAACAATTTACGGATGAACAACTTTATCACAGTGGTGTATCAATATGGAATGAAGTCAGTTGGTAAGTTTTTATAGTAATTAATTAATAGTATGGTAATTCTTGCAACATTCAGGTTAGTCATAGTGCCTTTCAGCTGAATAGCTCGCTTATCCAATGTGAAAGTACCCATTGTGCCTTTTTATCATCTAAGTTAAAGGTCACATGCAACCAAAAAATCAAACATAATTAAAACACAATTATCACTTATTCATGACATATAATATACATTGCTGGTTATGAAAAAACATATAAACAAAATTATAAGCGTACAATCGCAAATCAAAAGTGCAATATTGTGTTCTTCGGTTTACTTCCCAAGAAACGAAGCAGCCGGGATACCGAACCCAGTCAGAGCGGGTGGGTGTGCACTCAAGTGTAACGGCTGGTTCATTTGCAGATGCCCTCACGGCTTATTGTGTGTGTGTGTATGTAGAGATGTTGGGTTTTGTAAATACATGCTCATTTTTTGTGTATAACATTTTGCAATCAACAGACATCAAAACATGTCATGTGTTCAACTATCACACCTGCCTGTCTGTGTAATTACATAATGTAATCAATGCATTTTGTTTATGGTGTATAGCCTGATTGGTGTTAAGTTCAAATTGCATGTGCTCAGTGACAGCAGCTGTGTATTGAATATTGTCATTAGCAGACAGGCAGGCAGACACACAGGTGTCAATAAAACAAGACATTGAGTTTTGTCTGTGACAACGACATTTCTATATCACAGTTAGAAATTGTGTCAACGCTAAATAATGACATTGCTTTTATGTATCGAACTGAGAAAGTGACTCGGTAAGAAGAACGTGTGGTGAAATTATATAAACAGTTAATTTACTGTCATAACATATAAAAGCTCATACCTGTGAGATATCAACACAACATTAGAAAAATAGCTCACACCAAAGCCTTCACTGAGTATTCACCGGACAACCCTACTTCCAAGCTCTTGCGAACCTATTTCACTCTTGGACGTGCTATGAGCCAGCCCAGCTGTTGAAACCCATTTTCCCCAGAAAAGTCTGGGGAAAATTAGTGAAAACGTTTGAACTCTGATTTCGCGCTGTTTTTTTCATCGCGTTATTTTTCAACTTTATAAGTTGAATTTGCATTTTTGATGATTTGTTTCGGTAAGTCCATACCAAAAGGTATCGGAATCTGCAAAGTTGTGTTTTACGTTGCATGTGACCTTTAATCATATCAATTTTGTGTTACAGAATTCAGGAACAAGCCATACAGTGTACAAGGGCAACAAGAAGCCATGTCCAAAGGAGTGTGTGTTGATCATCGACCATGACACTGGAACATTTACACTGGAGAAACTCACAAACACAATACAGCTGAAGAAAACCAGGTGTGCAGGACACTACTCAGCTTCATGCACATCAAACCCGTGAAGATCTGGGTTAAAATTGATCTTCAGTAACCCATGCTAGAGGCAACTAACAGGATTGGGTGGTCATACTCGTTGACTTGGTTAACACACGTCGTTGTATCCCAATTGCGTAAATCGATATGTGTGATGTTGATCAATGATGGCTACACATGTCATGCTTGCATATTACAATTTACATATACAATTACCTGTTTCAGAATTGAAGGGTCAAGCCGCGCACAACAGCGACCTTTGACCCCTGTTGAAGTTGCTAAGCAACGACCTACATCACCTTCAAGACCCAAGACCAACCAAAGAAGTCCCTCATCTGTAAAAGGTTTCTCGCCAGTATCCAACAGTCAGCAAGACATGGATATAGGTACAGACTCGCTCTAAATATACATATATTTCTTATCCTGACTCATGCTAAATGCTTGTCTCCTTCTTCTTGCGAATGATAGTGGAACACTTGAAATCCCTTGAAGTTCCCTTCTAAAAAGCGGACGTAAAATCATCACTCTCCCTTGCCTCCCTTGGCGCCCTCTTTGGTTACATTACCAGCTATGTTGTCACTCTCTCCTTCTTCGCCCTTGAGGACGGTTGTGAGAGCACCTGCGTCCCTTTACAGCACATATCCTTTTCTATTTTGGACCTTTTACATATAAATGGCAGCTGTATACGCTTTTTGGATTGTATATTATCAAATGTTTTGATATTATGTCTAATTTATACGTTGTTTGCCATGTTTTTCATCTGGTTTACAATTGATGAAAACTTGTATTCGTTGTAGGTACCGGCTGTCTGTGGCTGACCCGCATATATTATGTCCTGATTGCACTACTACATGTTCTTCCAGCTCTCGCTGTAAACATTGTCAGAAACTAACTACTTTTGAATTTAATAATTACCTTTTTTCTCTTCATAGACGTGCAAAGGACTGGGTAAGAAGGTAATCACAAGTCATGTCTGGTAAATCGAGTGATTGCGCTGATCATCGTGTGTTAACTACTGCTGCGGAGGTTCATAATTCCAGTGAATTGACGAGCGTTTACGAGGGCAGGTCGCTGTTCCAGTGATGAACTCTGTCTCCATTAAGTAGAGATCGTCGTCAACGGAGCTATCCTCATTGCAGACGAAGAAGACGAGATCTTCTTCAGCGCAGAAGAAGAAGTCTACAGCTCCTAAGACTTCGTCGAAGTCTCTTCACAGCTCTACGCGAAGGCGAGATCCTTCACTGCCGATATTGTACCTCCAGAAGAAGCAGGCGTGTATGATGATCCCCATCATCATACCTGAAGTCTGATGTCGTCAGCAGGAAGGCGAAGCCTGCTTCAACAGCTACATCGGCAACTATATCAGCGCAGATATTGACAGAAGACCTTCTATCAACGCAGACATCGGGTACCAGAGATAGCAGCAGCGTCAACTCTTCACAAGTGCAGCGTACGTTAGAAGACGCCTCAACGTTCTCAGTATCATCATCAGCCCTGCAGCAGTCTCAACATACGTCGCAGAACTTCAACCTGGGGCTGTTTATGCAACAGTTTACAGATCAGATGATGTCGATGATGGAACGTCGCTTCGCGCAGGAGGAATCTGCTACGAAGACCACTACGATGACTACAAGCCTGCTCGAAGGTTCAGCAGCCTCTCCAACGCACCTGGATGAAGAGGAAAGCCTGCGCGAAGGCAAACGCACCTGACGATCTTCAACGACTGAAGCTAGACAACGCTTCCAACGTCAGCTCAGCCTTAGACGTCCCCGAAGGAGCCTCTAAGATTCTCCACACAGAAGCAGATTGAAGCGTTCTCCAGAACGCTACAGACGCCGCAGATATGGATTGTCATCACCATCGGACTAAGACACATCGGGAACTTGCGCGCAGGCACTCCACATCTCACAGAGGGGAGATTATGTCAATCAGCCTTCGTGAAGGCTTAGAGAGATATCTCAAGACTCCAGGAGGAATACACGGTCACACCGGGACCGTTCACCTGCACGCAGCTCTACATACAGATCTACATACAGAGACTCACGTCATTATAGGGAAATGTCCAACTTCACCGTCTGAAGTTAGAAGTCTGGAGAACTCTACTAACGTCAGCTCAGAATAGCAGACCTCTCCAATGAAAATCGCCCTGCGCGAATGAAATATTAGCTATACAAGCTCTCTCCGATGAAGGCCTGCACTTTCGCGAAGATCTTTACTGTCAGAAGTATCAGCAGTTAGAAGCCTGGAGGATTCAACGAACGCCAGCTTAGCGTTAGCAGTCCACGATGGAGCCTCCACGCAGTTTCAGCGTCTCAGCAGGAAAGATTCTAACACAGAAGTAGATCCAGTCGTTCTCCAGTATTCTACAGAAACTGCGCAGATGCGGATCTTCCAACTTGGACCTTCATCAACCTGCGCGAGGCACTCACGGGGAGGATTATAATCAGAGTCAGCATGTCCCTCCGTTCAACGATAGCAGATTTCCCCTTCATCATACGGAGCCCTTCATGATAACATCAGGGTTTGAGATTACAAGATCATCAGTGAATCCTGTAATAGATCTTCAAGTTGGAAGATAAGAAGATAACGCAACTGGACACTACAACTAGATGTTGGCAATGTTGGATCAACACGTGGCTTAAGAAAGAGACGCACACCTGAAGTAACGATGTTAGATAACATCCGATGAAACACTGAAGATGAATTTTCATCACATGGGCTTACAAGATATCAAGGGGATAGTTGACAGCATTGTCGCAGTTCCTCAGCGAGACATCAGTTACGGTCAACTTTACAGAACATCTGTATAAGATGACGACTGCAGTAAAGATTATAAAGTTGAAGAATACAGTCACAACAGACAGGGAACAGTCTGCTTACATCGGTACTACGTGCCGAAGTTTTCGCGCGCTTCAACTCAGCCATCTATACACGTGTTCACTCGTGTAACTCCGGCACATGCCGAACAGAGAGGTTACGGACAAGGCCGAGTGTTGATGAAGAAATCAACGGCTGCACAAGATTCTATGAGGATCATTTACCTGCAACACCGACTCATCAGATGGAAGTTGGAAGAACAGAATCATCAACAGTGCCGTCATAAGTTCCCACAGCCAGTGAATCCCGGAAGTGGCCTGACCCACCACCGATTCCGACAGATTCTGCAAGCATTTAGCATGTCAGGATAAGGAAAAATATGTAATTTTCTTTCCACAATTTTCCCTGTAAATCCGGGTGTCGGGCGTTCAAACTGAGAGAGTGACAACAAAGCTGGTCATGTGACCAAAAAGGATGCCAAAGGAGGCAACGGAGACTACTCATGGGTGAGTGATGATTTTACGTCCGCTTTTTTAGAAGGGAACTTCAAGGGATTTCAAGTGTTCCACTATCATTCGCAAGAAGAAGGAGACAAGCATTTAGCATGAGTCAGGATAAGTATAAAATATCAATTTCAGTCAGAAAATTACATACACCATGAAGTCTTGTATGTTTTAAAATTCATGGACTGTCGATGTTTAGCAATCGTTTACCCTATGTTGTTTGTTAAAGACAGGGGGCTGTAGGGTAACCTAGTACTTAAATCGTTTGCTCGTAATGCTTAGACTCAGGTTCCCCACATGGGTACAATGTGTGAAGCACATTTCTGGTGTACCCGCTGCAATATTGCTGGAATATTGCTAAAAGCGGCGTAAAGCCAGAGTCACTCACTCACAGTTATAAACAGGTCATTTGATGGATGAGTGGGTTTAAAGCCACTTTGAACGGTATTCCTGTATTCAGGAAACCCCGCCTTTTAGACTATTTTTAGGTGAAACGAAACTTACCTTCAGTAATTGTACTTGCTTAGCCGGACCCTGCACTTCCGGACCCGGACAAAGAATTTTCAAACCATTCCCATAGGTTTCCATTGAAAAATGATCCTGTTATCCGAACGGAAAGCTCTGTACGCATGTGCATATGCATGTGTATGCTATCGCTCGACTAAGTGTATTCATTGTTAATCTCTCTCGGCAGGCGTTTGATGTGAATTGATTAATCACCCATCAAAACACTATGGACGCGTGCCACTTGAGTTGTTAATTAGGATTTGGCAGGTGTGAGAACATCTCATCAGTAACGAAAACACATGCTAATTAGGATTAGGATTAACTACATTGTACTTGTTCTTTATATAACGTCTCGTCAATATGCATCGTCAGTGCGTTTTGCTTGTTTCATCCAGTTAACCGATTTCCGAGTGTAACCAAAATGTCCGGATAAACAGGGTTCGACTGTATAATCACTGTGGATTGACTTATTGTGGGAGGCAAGCCAGAAGTGATGCAGGTCATGAATTCGGTTATGTGCTGACAACCCTTGAGACATGATCAGGACATAGGATTGTGGGTTACACACCACCAAATGTTTTACTAAAGGCTTCTATAGTAACCTTATAATTTTTTTAAAAATAGACAGGCTATCAACAGCCATTCCATGTACACATGGGTACACTCTGGCCTTTAAACTACCATAAAACACAATATCTGGCCAACTTGTCCGGCTCGTTTTGCGAGCACAGGAAGTGGAACACATCAACCCCAGTTCCGCACCAAATGTCACCTACTGGAAAATATCTGTACACACAATAAGCATAAGTGATGTTGATAAAAATGACAGCACTAAATACTTAAAATTGTGGTCAGTTTTAATTACTGGTTGGATGTGCTTTTAAAAAACAAACATACTACACTATTTCATCCAATCACAGCTGTCACATGTCTCTGTCTCTCTTGACTTGTTTACATACGGACCGGCTCAGCGAGCAAGCGATACTAATGTAGTGTAGTGGAACCTATAGCGGAGCCCAAGGGACACAACCCCCTCCAAGTCACTTGCTGTGTCTTAGAAACTGCAACAGGTGCTTGCTGTATTGTGATTGGTCACAGTCTGCCTTGGTATTTTGTCTCCATAGTCAGTGCTCTTTCTGTAGAGGCAGACATGGGATTTGCATCAAAGTAGGTTGTCATGTATCAGGTGCATAGATACTTCGGCCTAGGATACCTGTATCCACAAACTGGTCTTAGTGCTACAGTATTCATGTGTCTGTAAATCATGTCTAACTGCTAGGCTAACAGGTCATGGTAATGGTATTCTTGCTCATGTGTATTGTTATTACTAGTAGTGTGACGATTCATCGATACTTCGATCAATGGGCCACCGATACAGTGAATCGATACAAAGTTTTACATTGTCGTATATCCCGATACGATACTTTAAATTGGCAACGATACATCGAAGTTTAACTTTGAATATTGCCGAATCGCGATATCTGTCAAGAAAAAAAGACTCACTTTTGTTTGATGATGAAAATGTTTGCTTACTTATTTTCCTTCATAAGTAAATGTTTTCTCAGAAATTCTTGCGTCAAGAACTGTGTCAGACATAGCACTCACATGTTATTATCATTCACAAAGTCTGTGTATAAACTTAATTATCTAGATTCCGAATGAACATTGAAAAACGCGCGCGGAATTTGACAAAATTCTTTAAAATGGTTTTGTTTTGATATTCAAGTGTTTTATAGTTGTTAGAATGAAATATTTTAGAATCGTGATGCGTATCGTATTGTCACCCTTATATCAGGATTCGTATCGTATCGCAGCTTCAGTGCACGATACTTTGGCAATATATTGTCATGTCTAAAATTTTAGCATCATGATGTATCGTATCGCAGGTTGTATGCCAATACCAGCACTAGTTATTGCAGTGAAAGGAAGTTGATCTGTGTTTGCTTCTAGTGATGCCGGACGTGAAGGAGGCGAGCTACATCGGGGAGATCAGCAGCAGCAGTAGCTCCTCCAGCTCCAGCGAGGACAGCGACTCTGACAACGAAGCTCCCGCACAACACAACCCTGCTGGTATGTGCACCTTCTTACTGCATAGACTGTAGGGGGGCTTTGATGTGATGCCTGACTTTAGAACAGATACAGAAAAAAGCAGTCTAAGTAAACTTAGGCTCAGTATTATTCGTTACACTGCTATACTGAGTCTAACAAAACCTTGTGGAAGGTCGCATCAGGTAACCTTTGAGCGACCTATGCTGTTCTGTTCAATCCAACGCGAAACGGCCGAACGATTTAACCAATCAGACAACTGCTACTATTTAGGGTTTGGCGGGACTTACAAAATGGATTTTCTCTTCCTCGTTGCCAACACTGATCTCATAACAAATGAAAACCCGCATAAGACACAGATATATGACCTGCAGAATATACGCTTTTGGGTTTCTGTTGACATGGCTATCATTAGCTAATATTTCCGCAAGCTGACATCCTTGAATACTGACAAAACGCTATTCTCAGCAACTGTTTACTCACTGTTGTGGCGTGCTCCATGTGCATCACTCGGAAGCGATCGTACGGAAAATAGCATTCGGAATCGTTCAGGTACAAAACGTTTTCGAGGTAAAAGTTCAAAAGGTGCGAAAGTCAACTTTCGCGATTTGGTAAGCTGTGTTCTGATTGGTCCATTGAAAAGGTCAGCTGACGCGACCTTCCACAAGGTTTTGTTAGACTCAGTATAGCAGTGTAACGAATAATACTGAGTCTAAGTTTACTTAGACTGAAAAAAAAAGGAATATGTTGCATCCAGAGGAATTACAATGATATTCATTGTACCAATATGGTGGTGCGTGGTCCTGTGCACAGAGCTCAGGTCACGAATCAGTTGAAGCAACGTCGAGCTCGGACAGTCCTTGGATGGGTGACCGTGTTTTGTAGCTTGACTCCTGAGAGTTTCTAGGACTTCTATCCTGCCCAACAGTAAAGCACGTGTAATACATGTGGTCTCACCTTAGGCAAGTGAGTTTGTTCAAATTGCCTCTGTTCACCCAGCAGAAAGTGGGTACCAGGTTGGATAAAGTCATGTGACTTTAACCTTTTAGCACATAACAGGCAGCTTGGATTATCCGGGGTAAAAATAATAATCAGATTCTGATTAAGTGCCGCGAGCAATCGCTTGGTGTTTGGAGACTGTGCGCTATAGAAGATGACTTATTGTTATAATTATTATTTTTACAAGAAATGTAATGTTCCTATAAATATGTAATTGAAGGAAGCGTTCACTCATCACGCCAAAGGCCTGTGTTCGATTCCCCACATGGGTACAATCTGAGAAGCCTATTTCTGGTGTCCCCTGCCGTGATATTGCTGGAGTATTGCTAAAAGCAGCATAAAACCATACTCCCTCTCTCAAAACATATTATGGTGTGTCTTGATTTATGCAGCTCACTTCCATTTTCATTATAGGTCAGGTCCCACCCAGTATGCCGAGCGTGCCTCCCTCCAACCAGTCCAACTCAGGGCGACAGTTCTCACTGATAAGTAAGTTGTGCTACGTGAGGATGATGTTGTAAATTGTTTACATGGACCTTCAGTAACCCTGTGTGAAATCTAGTGGATAAAGACTCTACCCAAAGAGCAGAACTTGGGTGGTTTGATCCCTTGGCCTTGTCATACCAAATCAACTTTAACACATACACACACATGGACGTCTTCATATGAGCGAAATATTCTCAAGCACGACGTTAAACCCAATTTCACCTCACCTCACCTCACCTCACCCAAATAAACTTTAAAAGATGGTACTTGTTGATACCCTGCCTGGTCCTCAGCATCATAGGGATTAGTGTTGGGAATCGGAAACCAAACCCACCATCGATTATCGGAGGATTGTCGTGAAAGATTATCGATTATAATCGAAGTATATACATTTTTAATGTTATCACCAATTTCAAGGGTTTTTCCCCCCGAGGTTTTTTCTAATAAATGTTTTTTATAACTAATACTGTCATGCAATGAAATACACGCATGCAAGAAAGACACTGGAATTGTAATTAAACAATAAAAGTGGTTAAAATGTTACAATGCGCATAGCTTTACGCTGTTGAGTGCATGTTTGTTCGTGAATATTTGTCAAATTTAATTTTTACTTTTCTTCATTCAAGTGTGTGATACTAAAACAACAAAATTCTGATTAATTGAAAATATGTTTTTTTACTTTTGATAATCATATTTAATCCTTCTTTCGATCGATTTTCGATCATCGGAACACCAGTAAAAGGGATGAAACATGGAGTGGTCAGCTCAGAGTGGGGTGTCCCTTGTTATACTGTGGCCCGGTGTCTCAGTTGGCTAGCACCATAAACTGGTATTGGTCCATACAAGTAAATGCAGCCACACAGACACATACAACCATGTGTATTCGTGTTGCCATATAAGGGAAATAATTTTGAATGCAACATTAAAGTCAATCTCACCTCATCTCACCTCACCATTGGGTGATTGATTTGGATAGGCAAGGAGAGGGTTGCTTTGTCATGAAGATTCCATTTAGAATTCATCTTCAGCAACCCGTGCTTGTCGTAAGAGGCGACTGACAGGATCGGGTGGTCAGGCTGACACATGGCATATCCCAATTGTGTAGATTGATGCTCATGATGTTGATCACTGGATTGTCTGGTCCAGACTCTAATATTTACTAACCGCTGCCATTAAGCTGGAATATTGCTGAGTGTGGCGTTAAATGACAAACAAATCAATTTTGTGTCAGTGTCAGGAATAATATGTGATTCTGTGAGCTGTGGCTTGTTCCTAGAACATTGATTTAACCAGAATCAAGTAATTGAGGTAATATTTTCTTTCAGATGATCTGGAATTGAGTGAATCAGGCAGTGACAGTGACTGAGATATGAACTATCACCATAGTGATGACCTTCGATGATGACAATATCCGTTTCCATGGTGATGATAATGTGTGAGACAAGATGTGTTTCTGTGGTAATATGTATGAGTGATTGTGAGAGAGATTTTAAAATTATTGACTGCAAGTGAAAACTTTCTTTATACTTGACACGCATGACATTTAAGTCATGTGGGGCTGCTTATGGGATAAAAACTGGAGGGTGCCTAGATACTGTGTATTGAAAGAGAACGGTGCCTTAACACAGTCTATTGGGTGAAGTGGATGCTTTGATACTCTTCATAGGGATAGGAGGCTGATTAGATCCCCTCTTTGAGAGAGAGGGTGCATGGATACTGCCTATTGGGAGAGAAGTGGGTGCCTAGATACTGTCAGTGTCAATTGGGAGAGAAGGTGCCTAGATCCCATCTTTGGGAGAAGGTGCCTAGATACTGTCTGTTGGGAGAGAAGGTGCCTAGATCCCATCTTTGGGAGAAGGTGCCTAGATACTGTCAAATGGAGAGTTGGTTGCTTAGATCCCATCTTTGGGAGGGACACTGTCTATAGGGAGAGAGGTGGGTGCCTAGATACTGTCAGTGTCAATTGGGAGAGAAGGTGCCTAGATCCCATCTTTGGGAGAAGGTGGCTAGATACTGTCTGTTGGGAGAGTTGGGTGCCTAGATCCCATCTTTGGGAGAGATTCTGTCTAAAGGGATAGGTGGGGACCTTGATACTTTCTGTGAGGACAGAAGGATGCCTAGATACTAGGAACTAAAGTACTGTCGGAAATAGAAAAAAAACTGTTTTTAGGCTGTTACTCTGTATCCCTAAAATATACACAACTGCAAATAGCATATGTGGAGATAACCCACATCGGCCTAACTGAGCGTTCAGTGGGATGTGTAATAGGATATCCAGAAAAGCATTTTACTCGTAAAATCAGGCAAAACTTGAATAGCTGCTGAAAACAATAGATCAGACTATAGATGGCAATTGGGTCGCTCAGCCAGGTATGATGACGGACCGTCGACTCACCTGGCATGAAATGCATGTGCTGCCTACAGGCACAAGGGGTCATCTTAAAGATATTTTATGCTTTCTCATGTGTGTTGGCTATACCTCATCTATTGATTAACATCTTACGTGTCTTTCTTTCATAAAGTTTATGTTGAGATATGTAAAAGAGTATGATACCTGATAACCATAGAAACGCATCGTATTAAATGTCTCAAAATATATAGGTGGCATGACCACCCGATCGCGAAGATCGACAGGACTGGATATTATTTGTAAATTATTATGACATGCAGTGTACTTCCCCAGTATAATTGCCCTAAAGGATTATCTTATCTTAGTTGATATCTCTATCCCCCATCCCGACCCCTACGATCGTCAGCGACACCCGTCCATGTTTTGCTTTTGAGACGACCCTTCCTATCTGTTTCTTTTTATAGTGACAGTGAGACTCCATGGTAGCTACATCCTAAATAGTTTCAAAATGTGTTTAACTTGTGTTTCATGTAGTCATAAGGTTGTCAAGGGGATCTGTGATTTAAATATAATAATTGAAAAATTGGCTCTAGTTTGCTAACAGCAGCTAAGTATGGGTAAAGGAGAGAAATACGACACCTGTTATGAATATACTGTTGCTGGTCTATATATTCTGTACAACATAGTCACACTTCATGTGATTCCATTATGTAAATACTATTGATTCTGTTGATGGAATAAATGATGTATGCTTGCAGGATGTTGTCTATGGCGTTGTGTTTCATTAGGAAATTTATACCAGAAGAAACGGCAGTTGATTTGCTGTCCAGAATTGTTTCTCTTGGGTTCTGACACCCATAATTCTTTCGAATCCTTTTCCACATTCTTCCCATATTACTATTTTAGCTTCAGTCACAGACAACTAAACCTAAGATTTTACAGCAGACGCCCTCTTCACTGTCAACTGCACAAAACCAGTTGTCGAGATAATAGTAGCACAATAGGCATCCAGCTCTTCAGCTTGTGTGGATGGGAAAGTCCTCAGTCTCTCCTTACATCCATTTGTCTGCATGTAAGAGTGTCCGACACTCCTCACAGTGATTTATATTGAATTTTCTTAAGCTACCGGTATATGGACTCTTGGGTTTACATACCTGTTAAGCAAAACAAATGCATTCTACACACACTCAGAAACCTCTGGGCATATGTACAAATCTTGCTACCTTCAGGGCTCCAGATAAGGGTCGTATCGGCGTATGTACGGATATAAAATAAGCATGATACGGTAGGAAATAGGTTAGAAAGCGTAGCAGATACGCACCACAGCAATGGTGTACGGTCTTAGAATCATTTGCAGACGTATTTATCTGAAAAGTATTGTTTTATTGTTTATTGACCTGTTTACACAAGAGTAGCAATGTTGTGGTTCAAATATGAAACGAAACACACGATTACTGGGACTCCATTAAATTCCATTCAGTACTCTAAATGTACTCTTACGTTTTTCCAGTTCTCCTATATTGAAAAAATAAGGAGTACGTACTCCTGGTGTTTAAAGATTATCTGGAGCCCAGTACCTTGATTCAGGAGGAAGTCTGAAGTGATTCAGATTACATATTCTCAGTGAAACCAAGCAGCATGGATATGACACTTAGACAACTAGGAATCTCCATCTGTATGAACAGTAGGGCTGTATCGATGCATCGAACTATTGATGGATTGCAGTTGTCATGCCTCCGATAGCAGTTAATCAGATGGGGTGATGAGAAACATACAAAGTATTTTCATTTCACCATATAGTCTTAATCAGGGTTAATGAAGCTGAAATATATCTTTTAATATAATGGAAAATTCCTACACTGTTTTCTAGTTGCACAATGGTTAGTTTGCTATGGTGGTGGAGCTAGGGTTACCTGGAGCTAGGGTTACCTGCCCTTGCCTTGTACAGAAATTTAGAAATGAAACATTACTGGAATTAATTTGTGCATAAATCAGTGTAAAAAGATCTTTTGGTCTGTGTATCTTATGCTGAAATGCAGTGTATAAAACAAACGCTGGAAGTTGTATCAACAAACAGTTTTTATTTATCTTATAAATAATTAACTTTCCAGCACAGTAACGAGAATGTTTCTGATAACACATACGTCAGTAAACAGAGAACGGGACACAGACAAGCATGAGTGAGATACGCATCGTGAAGACTCCTAGCCACTAAACCATGTGTAGATTGGCTGGCCTTTCTAGACAAGGAAGTATATATCTTGGTTATAGGCCAAGGATGGAATAAACCCAAATCCTTGTCTTAATACCACTATTTCCCGAATGTAATTAATCTGCCATCTCATCCAAAGTATCCTAACATTCCTATTAACTGAAGGTAAAATAAGCGGACAGTGTTTCTGTATTGGGAAGAAATGGTTCTATTCAACAAAATGGGCCACCGAATCGAATGCTCTTACGAAGTGTTCCCTTACTGTCAAATAATATAAATACATAAATGAGTTAACAAAACATATTCTTTACTGCAATGTCCATCAGTATAAACTGATCAAGTTGACTTACCTCAGGTTCTTTTAAAAGAGTGGTGAAGGCATTTTATTTTCTTACTGTTTTCTTCTTACAAACAATAGTTAATTTCAGAAATAATTAGGGCTCCTTGCCTCTAGGCAGGAGACCTATTGTAATCGTTCGGGATTATTATTATTATTATTTATTATTCCGCCGATTTTTGTACCAAACATAACTCCTAAACCAATGCTCCGAATCACTTACAAAAAATCACACAGATGCGCACCGAGGTGTAGATATTCCCCTTAAAAATCTCTAGGCTCTTGGCCCAATAGCACAGGGGCGATAATTCAAAATTAATTCCAAAATTTCAACGTTTGACAGCAAATATCTCAAGAACTAATTGTTCCGACACTTCCAAATTTCTTGTACAGGTGCACAATTGAATACCCAACAATTTTGCCTGGACGGGTCAAGTCGCTAAAATGTACCGTTTGGCAGTATGGTAGATGATGTCCTGGCGATTCCAGAACACTAATTGTTTTGAACGTAGACCCAAGAACAACTGAGATACAGCCTTTTAAAGGGGGAACTATTTCTTCTCCGGAACTACTTAAAAGGTACATAACCCCCGTGACCCCGGCTGTATTCAGAAGATCCGCTCGCCTGTCAAAACGTGTTCTGGCTCCGTTTTGGACGATGATATCTAGCCCTCAGATGCAATAGATAGAAAGTAAAGCCAAGGAGACCTCATCGTTGCCCGCGCAACTATATTTCTGAGTGTTAACGACAGGAAGAAAGTGACAAGAAGTCTTCATAGTTATCGAATTAAAACGTTTGTTTTCCCCAACCCTCTAAAAACCCACGTCGTCATATGAGCGAAATATTCTCAAGCACGACGTTAAACCCAATTTCACCTCACCTCACCTCTAAAAACCCTCTGTGAATGGTGATGATGAAAATTATTTCCTCACCCATCTTACCAAAGAAAAACAGGTGCTTCTATATTGGATTTTTATGGCCTAAATTGCCTTTGAAACCTACACAGCCTCGAGATACATTGTTTTATTGATCCTAGTCAGCCTTCGCTATGGACGAGAGAAGGATCAGGCGTGGCAACACAACAGCATCTTCACATTTAACTGTTTCACGTTGGACCCTCCAGTAACTGTTGTTTCTGAATATTTCAACCCAAGAGTCCATATGTAGATGATGATTTAATACATCCACGGAATTCCAGAGTCCACGTTTACTATCACTCAGAAACTGATTCGAAAATCTTCAGGTTTTTCCATAAATCAGTTTCGTAGAAGTCGTGTTAGGATTCAGAGAGTGAGAATAACTTGTGGAAAACATTACTGCCAAATATAATATACTGGTTGTATTATAATATTCTTTTATTCTCCATATTGGTAAATCAGCATAAACAATATCTAGGTATATTCAAAGGCGTATTCTAACAGAATCCAGATTTCATAAAGGCTTTTTCCTCTACTTGACTTTGTACACATTCAAAGTAATGAATATATTAACACCATTGATAAATGTACAGTGTAGGAAAATACCTGCTTCAACATTGCTAAGTCTTCAAAAATATCATGAGTATCCTAGAAACAGAAATAACATGAAATAATCACAATGTTAAAAAAAATAACAAACTCAACAACTGGTCATATGCTGAACAAGGAAGAATGTCACTACACAAACACATTACTTTACAATAAGACAAAATTAGCATTCTTGTAAAAAAAACTAATAAAAACAGATACTGTTTGACTTAGGATTTGCATATATACTTCGCTATGTGCTTTTGGAAGCTGTAGAAACAGGACATTGCTTTAATCAAGTTATTTAATGTCAATAAGATTATGTCTACACTTGTAGGAACAGTCCCTACAAATGGTAACGACATATGATTGACATGTTTTGATTTGCTATTCCAAGTGATCAATGGGAGTTGGATTATTCCACACTAAATCATCAATATCACACAGCTTGGTTTGTTTTTCTTATTTCACATCACACAGCCAAAGATATTTCCGAATTTCATCGTCAGTAAAATCTTTTGAAAACATGATATTTTAGTTGTGATCAATTTATGTCAGAAACATGATTTTTGTTGTTTTAACACACAGTGTGGAAGGTGATGTGAAATTGAAAGAAACAATGCCTGAAATAGTATTTGGAGTGAAACTTAACATTGATTAAAAGAACCTCTAAGACCTCACATGTGAGGGTACATAGTTAAATGCTAATATTACCTCACATGTGAGGGTATAAAGTGAAACTTAACATTACCTCACAAGTGAAGGTATTCAGGGAACCTCTAAGACCTCACATGTGAGGGTACACAGCTTGATGCGAATATTACCT